GGAATCCAGCAAGTCCCTGAAATATAATGTAGTGCCATTTTCAGAAGAATATGTTTTTTGTTTGTAATATGAATTGAGATGCTACTAATTACCGTACTTGTTATATTGGTAGAAATGTGAAGGTAGAAGCATGGCTTGTGATTTCTGATCAGTTACAATTCTGGCTTGTGAATTGCATTGTTTTAAAGTCTGTAACTTTCCAGCTACCTTGGTTGCAATTATCATAACGAGTCCTGATTCACGACAGATGCACCTTCCCATTGCGGTTGAAGATGTCAGGCGAGAAGTTAAGATATTAAGGGCCTTAACTGGTCACGAGAACGTGGTTCAGTTTCATAATGCATTTGAGGATGACAATTTCGTGTATATTGTTATGGAGTAAGTGACCTTTTTTGGACCTCTTTTTTTTTTTTTTTTTTTTTTTTTCTATGTTTCTTGATTTGGAAAGTATGTGGCTTATTCTTGAAATTCTTTTATATCTTTTAGGTTATGTGAAGGTGGAGAACTACTGGATCGTATCTTGGCCAAGTAAGTATTCCTCAACTTTCGGGACAATAAACTATCCACGGGTTGCAGTCTGAGCTCTAGAACATGAATTCCCGAGTGAGCATAATTGTATAGGTATAGGACTTAACAATATTTTTTCTGTGATCAGGAAAGATAGCCGTTATTGTGAAAAAGATGCTGCAGTTATTGTAAGACAGATGGTAAAAGTTGCAGCAGAGTGTCATTTACACGGTATGGTACATCGAGATATGAAACCAGAGGTATGGACGATAAGTTTCGGTTCTTTCGACTGGATCCTGCTGCATATTCTGCTTCGTTTACAATTTTACGTGCATTTCTTTGATGTAGAATTTTCTTTTCAAATCAACGAGAGAGGATTCTTCATTGAAGGCAGTTGATTTCGGTCTTTCAGACTTCATAAGACCAGGTGATTAGATGTCGAAACTCGAAATCATATACTCCGTAGTATTTTTTATCATTCTAGTTTACATTCGTTTAGCTCTTGAAGTCGTCAAATCATATAGGATCTAGATTTTATCACTTCCGTAATCGAAGTTTGAACTTCACGAGGAGTAATGAATGCAGGAAAGAAGTTTCAAGATATTGTCGGGAGTGCATATTATGTTGCTCCAGAGGTCTTGAAGCGTAAATCGGGCCCCGAGTCAGATGTATGGAGCATTGGCGTAATAACCTACATTTTGCTTTCTGGTCGGCGACCCTTTTGGGACAAAACGGAAGATGGCATATTCAAGGAGGTGAGTTTCCGAGGCTCTATCCTGAGATTTTCTTTGCCCTTTTTGCCCTTTCATGTACTCTATAGTATTCTCGGGTATATTCTAATATATGTGTGTTATAGGTTCTAAGAAACAAACCTGATTTCCGTCGCAAGCCATGGCCAAGCATAAGTAACAGTGCTAAAGATTTCGTTAAGAAAATACTGGTGAAGGATCCTTACGCTAGACTTACTGCTGCTCAGGCCCTTTGTAAGTATTACTATTACGATCACTGGGCTGTCGATATGAAGGTTAATGAGAAGCAAAGATCTTTTCGACATTTTTTTTATCCATTCTATCGTTTTTTAGGTCTTATTTTATTTTTATAATGTCATGAATCCGATGATTCTTTTGCAGCACATCCGTGGGTGCGAGAGGGAGGCATTGCATCGGACATCCCTCTTGACATTTCTGTTCTGTCCAACATGCGACAATTTGTTAAATACAGTCGTCTAAAACAGATTGCTTTAAGGGTAAGTTTATACTTGCTCCATACGAGCTTTCCGTGAATCAAAATGCTCGTTTTATTTATGGTACTTATTTTTTTTACGGGTTGATGCATTATATTCCAGGCATTAGCGACCACACTTGATCAAGAAGAGTTGTCTGATCTCAGAGATCAATTTGAGGCTATTGATGTGGATAAGAATGGCGTCATTACACTGGAAGAAATGAGGCTGGTATGTTTTTACAGTCACGTAGATTCTTGTGGTTGTTGAAAATACGCGAATATTTTACGTGCGTGTACGACTTTAATGCAGGCACTTGGTAAGGATATTCCGTGGAAAATGAAAGAGTCGCGTGTTCTTGAGATTCTTCAAGCGGTATGTTCAGTAGCATTATTTTTGTTGAGCATATAACTATTAATGTGCAATCCAACTATCAGCTTAGGCTTTTAGTTGAGATGGAGTACATGCTTCAATTTGGTATCAGAGTCATGCCAAAGGTCATGCATTCGATTGAATCTCAGCGCCACCCGATAAAAAGAAAGAGACTACTGCTTCAATTATTTTCAGCAGTTTCAGACCCGCTTATTGGGTTTCAATCTCTCCTTGTGCTTTTATAGTTAATTCCTGATCAATACTAGCTATATGATTGGCAGATTGACAGCAACACCGATGGACTCGTGGATTTTGAAGAGTTTGTTGCTGCCACTTTGCATGTGAATCAGATGGAGGAACATAATACCGAAAAATGGCACCAAAGATCGCAGGCTGCTTTTGAGAAATTTGATATTGACAGAGATGGATATATCACTCCAGATGAACTTAAATTGGTAAGTTTTACGATCCTGTCCTGCTGAAGTGAGTCAAGTGACTAATGAGTAATGACCTCACACAACACGCGAAGAACATCTCGATCAATACATAGATTTAATTACTTCGAACTTTTTAAAAGCATGCCAATCATAATGTGAAATATGCATCTTTCCCTAGCCGGCAAAGGACCACAAGGAAGTAAACCAGCCTAGATTGCTCACAGTTGACCAGGTCGAATCAAGAAGGCCAATAGGCCGCTCCTGCTGGGAGTCAAAACTTGTAAATTTTAACCTTGTGGTTACTAAGTCAACAGCATGACCAATTCGGCTAAGGTTGCCCGAGGGTGTCTGTGTTAGGTCACTCCTACTGAAAGTTGAACTTGTAACCTTATAGTTACAGAGTTAACAGTCTGACCAACTTAGCTGAGGTTGCCCGCCCCCGAAATATGCATCTTGAGTTGCTGGTAGATGGCTGTGGTTTACACAATACTAATGTCTTGCAGCACACGGGCATACGAGGCTCCATAAACCCGCTTCTGGACGAAGCAGACATAGATCGAGATGGGAAGATAAGCTTGACAGAATTCCGCAAGCTCTTAAGAAGTGCAAGCCTGAGCTCTTCCTCCCCATCTGTAAGACACAGACATTAGAAGTGCATGTTAAACTTCCCAGCAAAGATTTTTTCGTCGTCGTCCAAAGATCATCATCGTATAATGGTTGTTAACTGCTTCAGTTGGCTGGCTCCAACAGATAGCGGCGTAGCCATAACTGCCCCCATTCTTATGCTGCTCAATATGGAACCACTGAGGGTGCAGTTGCCAGCCTGCCTTATCCAAATCAACGACCAACAGCATTTGTATATTTCGCGGAGCTCCTTGTATTAACTGTTTATGTGAACCTATTGGTTTATGTGAACCTTGGTGGACTTGTTGGGAAAAGTTATGGTCAAATGACAACTATAAAAGTTGGCTCTATTTGGCATTAAACAACAAGTGAGAGAAATCACTGCATACTACCACATCCCATCAAGCTTTAAATTGACTGATAATCAGGTGTAGGCCCCTGTTTGATAAATGGCTATTAGCTATTAGTTGATTGAGTTGATTAGAGGGTCTAATTAGTTGGTAACATTAGCTTATTGTGAAAATGTGTTTGGTAAATTAGTTGTTAGCTGATAGCTGTTTGGTATAATTTCTTTTCTCACAAAATTAATTGAAAATGTTGATTTGAGTAGTTTTTTGAATTTTAGCATTTTAGAGTTACAAAAAACTAATTAACCTAATACTTATATTGATTTTTAACCAAGTCAAAAAGTGAATGGTGGTCAAATAAGTCAAAATTGACTTATATGTTAACTATTTTACCAAACAGGGCCGTAGTAATTTTATCTCCTAGTCCAACAAAATTTATCACTGAAAATATTATCAATATCGATATTGATTGAAGCTATAAAAAAAAAAAAATATATATATATATATATATATATATATATATATATATATATATAATTATTATGTGGTATAATTCATACTCATTTTTTTTTACTACTATTGACTTTGTTACAATGCAGTATCTACTCATAACTACTTTCACAACTTATTAAAGCACAAATAGTCAGTATCGCCCCACAACCAACTATATAAGAGAGCAATTTGGTGTCAGACCACAATGTCTTTTTAAACTAAAATTCATACTCTTTATATTATAAGTGGGAAGAGAAGGAGAGAAAATAAGAATAAAAAGGTAGTGTTTAAACAGACCCACTACCCGTATCAAAAATATGAATTGAACTCTCGAACTTAAAAACATATCAAAATAATCATTGAACTTGTAAAGGAAAATATAATTAAGACTTTTTAAATAAGTTACCTAAGGTAACATAATAAACAGTGTTGACATGTCAACCATGTATACATTTAACATTGATGTTATATCTATCTGTTATATTAATCTCGTTAACTAATATTTTCACATTTGAAGTAGAAGTAACGTAATAATCGTGCCAACTATTATGTAATGTGATTACTTATCATTCTAAATGAATAGTCACAGGGGCATTCACCAACCTTCTCATCTCCAAGACGGACGAGGATGAGAAGGAGAAATTATTACAAATTAATTTAAAAAAATCATCTAAAGAAGGAAAAGATGAAATCGGAATATGATCTCTTTAGCTAAACACCTATGCCTTATATTTTATTTTTGGTTTTAGTTTATAAATTTAAAAAAATTATATGTTAATGCCATGTAGTGTACCAAATCAACCATTACTCATTTAACATGAAAGTAACTTTGTAAAAATGACATTATTTCATTTTCTTTTCAAGTTCAAAGTTTTAGAGCTTAAATATTGATTTTGGAATATTTGAAAGGTCTATTTGACCCTTTACCACAACCTGGAATTTGCTTCCCGGAAAAAGTGAAGGAAGGATTTGAGCGCAGTGGCAAAAACGAAACGAGTTAGCGAGTGGACTCAGCACTGCGTTGCTGCTGGAACTCCGAATGAATGAATGAATGAAGATAGTGACGTACAACGTGAACGGCCTAAGGCCTCGAGTCTCACAGTTCGGTTCTCTTCCCGGCCTTCTCGATTCGCTCGACGCTGATATCATCTGCTTCCAGGAGACGAAACTATCGAGACAAGACCTGCGAGCCGACTTGGTTAGGGCTGAAGGCTACGAGTCCTTCTTCTCTTGCACTCGCACTTCCGATAAGGGCCGCTCCGCTGGCTATTCCGGTTTGTTTTTTCCACCTCTAGCTCCCTTCCTCGTCTATATTCACCATTTGCCTAAATTTCATTCCGTTTCTTCAATTTTACATTGTTCATCTTTCAAATTTTGTGCTAGACTTCACTGGTTATGCGATTTTGCGCCTTTAAAAGAGATTAGCTTATAGACCATTTGCTGTTGGCATGTAAACCGATCACTGTATTGAACAATCATTAAGTAGTTTATTAAGCTCAAATTGCTGTTGAAATTGAAGCTTCTAAGGTTTTTAGGTTGCTATGCAAGTCAGACAGAATATATTGATGGTAGTATTTGTCAATCTGTATTTAACTAGATTATTTTAGATCATAAACTAGATAATATACTTTTTACAGGTTTCACAAAGATTATTCTCAAAAGAAGATCATAAATTTTTTATAAGATTTAAAAAAAAAAAAAAAAAAAAAAGCTTATTTAAGCTGATAACACAGGAATAATGTGAGTTGGTTATGGATTATTCAGACAATGGTCAAAATTCCTAATCAGGAGCTCTTCCTAAGTAGCACAACATAGATGAGTAAGTTTGTTATTGTAATGGTTTAAGCAGGTGTTGCTACATTTTGCCGTGTAAAATCTGCAATTTCGAGCAATGAAGTGGCCTTACCCATTGGTGCAGAGGAGGGATTTACAGGACTTCTTAAGGCTTCTCAGGGATGTGGATCTAGAAAAGATAACAGTTCTCTGATTGCACAAGGCCTTGAGGGATTTTCTAGGGATGAACTTCTTAAAGTCGATAGTGAGGGGCGTTGTATAATCACAGATCATGGGCATTTTGGTAGGTAACATGCACTATTTGATATGCAAGGATTTGTCATCTAGTGGCATCTAGCATTTCAATGGGATCTCATCTAGCAGTCTTATCTTTGTTATGGTTCAATATTTGAAAGTACTGATATTTTATGATTCTAATGTCTTGCTGAATATTCACATCTACCTTCACAATGCACTGGAACTTATTTACTGCTTTTTAACATATGGTTGTTTGGAATTGACAGTTCTTTTCAATATATATGGTCCCAGGGCTGGTTCTGATGATTCCGAAAGAATCCAATTTAAGCTTATATTTTTCAAGATATTAGAGGTTATTCAATCTTACTTGGGTATTTGGCTTCTTGGTCTTTAGAATTTGAGCTTTGCAGCTTTTGACCATGTAGTCTTCTTTGAATATAATTTGTTTTAGAGAAGGTGGGATTGTCTACTACGTCAAGGACGGAGGATAGTTGTTGTTGGGGATCTTAATATTGCTCCTGCTTCTATTGATCGTTGTGATGCAGGACCCGATTTTGAGAAGAATGAGTGAGCTGTTATTTGAATTTTATGCCCATTTAGTTTATTGACTTTGTTATCTTAATAAAAATTGTAGTTCTCTTATTCCTTGTGATTTGTTGATTACTGTAAAGCAGGTTTAGAAAATGGTTTAGATCTTTATTGGTGCAAAGTGGTGGGAGTTTCTTGGATGTATTCAGAACAAAATTTCCTGATAGGTTGGTAGCTTACTCCTTTGCCTTTAGTGTCTTCAAGTGACAAGGGAAAAGGCATAGACCTATTAATTGTGTTTTAACTAATTTTCTATTATACTCGGAAGAAACTTCATGGGTCTATGGTTCAGTTCAAGTGATTATTTCATATTCAATTTATCTTGTTCTGGGATGTCTTTGCAGAAGAGAAGCCTATACATGTTGGTCAACTAGTACTGGTGCTGAGGAATTTAATTATGGGTCAAGGATTGACCATATACTTACTGCAGGGTTATGTTTACATGAAGAGCACAATCAAGGCCATGACTTTGTAACTTGCCATGTTAAAGACTGTGACATACTGGTGCAATTCCGAAGGTGGAAACCTGGAAATACACCAAGGTAAATTGTAATTATGTCTAGACGATGACCATATGATTAGCTATGGATTTGCATGAAAATGCCCTTACAAAAAATGAATGGTATGTGGATTAGATGTGTCTATGTTCATGTTGTGCAGTATGTCTCTTGGAAGTAGCTCAACATGCATTTATGCTGAGAAGCTAGGATCACTAATGAAAAATGTCAGATAACTTTCTGCACGTCACATAGCATCCAAAAAGCACTCCAGTTGATGATCTTGATTAGATAATAAACATTGAATCCCGGTTCCTCTATTTCCTTTATGAATTCAAATAAAAGATTAAGGGGATGTTTGGTTCATAGAAAATGTTTTCCAAAGGAAAATATTTTCCTTAAAGTGGAGGAAAATGTTGTTTTTTGGTGTTTGGTTCATGGAATTCATTTTCCATTGGAAAATGAATTCCTCAAATTTGAGGAAACAAAATCCTTGGTTGGACCAAGGATTTTGTTTTCCATGGAAGATGGGAAGAAAAAGTGATATGGTATGACTATTTTACCCTTGTTTTCTTTCTTAATTATATTACTCTTATTAATTTGTAGGGGCATATAGGTCTTTATACTCATTATTCCTTACAATTCTAAATCTAACCAAACAATAGAATTAGTATTCCCAGTAATTCTTTTTCTACCAACCAAACAATGAAATTCATCTTTCTAGTAATTGTTTTTCCATGGAATTTCAATTCCAATTCCCTTAAAATATTTTCCGCGAACCAAACGAGCCCTAAGGGTAATACTCTGTGTGTTATAGTATGCATAATATAATTTACAGAGATAATTTCACTTACTCTGAGATTTAAGCTAGTAACTGGAACCCTCTTATTTTTAGAAATTATGCCTGAATCCCTGAGTATCATTTTCTATTTCACTTTAGTCCATAGTACATAATACTACATATCTATTTCCCATCATACTGCTAAAATTTTCATTCCCACTTATTAAAAATGATTGGGAAAAATGCAAAATGCCAAAATAGAAAAAAAAAAAAAAAAAAAAAACTTGTTTTTTTAGTGTTGATTGATGTTTTAGGTGTAATTCTTCAAACAGGAGGGGGTCCAAGTAAAATTATAATCTGTATGATTTATTATCCAACTCATTGCCCTGGCTGCGTCTTTTGAGACAAGTTATTGCTGCCAGGCTGCCACCTTTTTTAATTTCCCAAAGATAGCTTTAATAGAATGAAAATCACAAGCTTATATGCTTCAGCAGTTCAGCATAATAAACAGTACTGATGTATTCAACTTTCCATCTGGGATTTTGACATAAACTGCCATATTTATACAGAGAGGAAGCAATAAGTCCACTTACACTATTCTGTATCTGCAGATGGAAAGGAGGAAGAAGTATCAAGTTAGAAGGTTCTGATCATGCTCCTGTTTATATGACATTAATGGGAATCCCAGAAGTATTACAGCACAGCACTCCCTCATTATCTACCAGATACCATCCACAGGTCTCTGGGTATCAGCAAACTCTTGGTGCGCATTTCTTGTTACCTCAATTATGAACACGTTCTATTATTCAAGTTTTAAGTCCCCATTTTCATTTTGACTTGATTTGTCATTTGTGACTTTAGTTACTCATGGCAATAGTTTACCATTTGTCTTCTCAGAATGTTACAGCAATTTTGGTAAATAAGGGCAGTAAATCTTCAGTTTATCTTGTTGTTTGAATAGTTGAACAAATTGTTGATTTCTTTTCAAAGGTGATGTAAACTTGAAAATGTGCACTTAGCAAGTAGCTAATTCTGGTTTTTAAATAGCTTTTTTTCACTAGTACTAAATGGGAATGTGAAGTTCTCCTCAGGTATTTGGTGTGAATATCCTATACGATGTGTGTATTCCCTCTTGTGCCTTTAACAGAATTGTTGTTTAATTGACTGCATCTCAAGTTGTAATTTGTAAATTTGTATAGTCAAGGTGTAGTATGGGATTCATTTTAACTTATGCATTAATTTTTAATTTTTTTTTTTAAACTCTGCTTTATATGCAGTGTCAATGTTAATGAAAAGGGAATCATCCAATCGAACTGAAATTAATGGTGGACCCACTTCATCACCAGATGAAAGTATTATTGATCCAAGTATTCCACAGGATAGTCCCATATCAAGATTAGAGGAGAGCTATGAGTGCTCCTCAAGTAAAGATTCTCACATGGCAATGCATAGTTTAGGAAGCACTGCTAATTTATTGCCTTGCTCAGAAAGCAAGAAAAGAGCACGAGACAGTCGGGGGTCTCAGCTCACACTAAAGTCATTCTTCCAGAAAGCTTCAAGTGAAAGTGAAACTTTAGATAACAATTGTGTGGTCAACAAGCATAATCAGAAGGATATGTCTAATTCCCTTTCAAATTTATATGGTGATAATGCTGCTGAAAATGGTAACCGTAACACAGAGAATGCATCTGCTCAGGAGGTAGGTATGCTAGATGCATGCAACTCTTCAGACAAAGAGAAGAGGGCTGATGCATTGCAGGAGTGGCAGAGGATTCAACAATTTATGCAGAATAGTGTACCACTTTGTAGGGGCCATAAGGAGCCTTGCGTTTCTAGGCTTGTTAAGAAACCAGGCCCCAATTTGGGACGCAGGTTTTATGTCTGCGCTCGTGCTGAGGTATGGCCATTTATTTTCACTGTCTATCTCCTATACTTCACTGTAGTGTACTTGTTCTTATATTAGGATTATAATTGTTTCCATAACTTATCATAGGAACATCTTGTATGGGAGTGGAACATTTGGAATTCTTGGTTTGTGCTTGACAAATGTTGAGCATCCAATTCTTTAAACACACCATCCAATTCTCTTCACCCTTCACACACACTATGTTATGGATGCTCAATTGAGTCTCATAGTTCTTGTCTTTCCTTTATGAATGAGTAATTAAGCAGGCTTTCAAGTTACATGCAAACACAATGACACACATTGTCATTTAGTCATTTATGTTATATCTATAATTTTTTCTCCTATATTCTAAAAAATTCTGGTTTCCTTTTATAAGGGACCTGCATCTAACCCTGAAGCAAATTGTGGTTACTTTAAGTGGGCTGCTTCAAAACCCAAGGGCAAAAACTAGCAGTATTTGCTTCCATACGAGACAAACGACCATGAAAGGCATCTAAACGTAGTGCCTTCAAATTTCAGGTCAGTAAAATTAAGAAATCTTCTCTCTAGACTCTATAGCAACACCCCTCTTTGAGTTTTATTAATGTTTTTCTTCATGTATCTACCTTTTCTATAGCTAATTGCCATTTGCATTTTTTGTAAATATTTTCTAACCCCATATATTAGCCTTAAGGCAAGTTTCTGTGATTGAATTCGTATTTTGTCAAAACGGGCTCATTTTAGAGAAATACCTGAGCTTGATGTAAGGAAAAACCTTTAGTTGTATGCCTAAAGAAAGTTAATTTGTTATGAAGGTAATGGATATTGAGAACTTTGAAGTTTGAACAACTAAAGGATATATATTCAATTGATTGATCTTACCAACAAGGGCATGTAGACAAAGCTCATTAATCCTTAAGGACTCAAGAGATGATGTTTGCTTTGAGGATTAGTCTGATAAAATGCCTGATAAAAAAGTTGGTCTGTGCAGCTTTTAGTTTTACAATTGTAATAGTATGTGACCAGATCTACCTTTGAAACACTAAAACTGCAATCCAAGTGTATTTAATTGTGAACATTGGCTAACCAGTGACTAAGTTTCAGAAGTGCTAATTCCACTAGATCTCTACCTAAGTTGTTTAGACTTGGTTTAAAATGTAAATGCTCCTTGAGAAATTATCCAATTTGTAAAATTACTTTTTCAAGTCCAGACTCCAGAGATACAATTTGCATTCTTTTTTTTATCGATGACAAAATCTAGATAAATAACTAGGAAGTTTGCACCTTAAAAAAGATTCTTAAAAGAGTTTTTACATTATTACCTTTTTAGTGTTATTTCCATTTTTCTTTACAATAACAGTGCTACCTCCAAAAATGATGGACCAAATGGATTTTTATCTCTTAATATAATCAAGTGGTGCACTTGGCGTTGAGAGGTCTTCATCCTAGTGACCACTATGATTCCAAGGATGTGAAATCCCTTGTGGCAGTTAGTGGAAAGATATATCTTTGCAAGAACTCCGTTGATTTATGTTTTTAAAGAGACAGGGATGGTCTACATTTATTGTTTTTTTAGAGATGTTAAATCATCAAATTGGCAAGCGTTAGTCTTCACATATTTTGCAAGTCCTGTCCTTCGATTTGGAAGGTTTCTTAACCAAATCGAAACGGAACCTTTGGGAACAAGTGGTCACACTAGCACTTAGGTCCAGATTTATAGCATTGTTTTTTGAAGTTTTCTTATTGGTCTCAACTTCTAGCTGATGATATTGGATAAGGATTCAATAAGTGTGCCCACTTTGATTAAGAGCTGTTCCTTGATAGGTACGTGAAGATAATTATTTAAACAAAGTTTACCGTTTAGTGGCTTAGTGCGTGACCCTTGGATACAAGGAAACGATGATTAGAGGAAGTGTGACAAAGCTCATTTACTTGGCAAGTAGCCTAATACTTTATCTGTACCCCCTGGTACTAATTGAAAATTTAAAAGTCAAAGCTTTTCAAGAACATCATATTATGGTCATGTTTGGTAACATAGGTAGCTTATCAGTTAATTTTGACTTATTTGACTACTATTAGCTGTTTGATTTGGTTAAACAACTAATATAAGTGTTTGATTAATAAGTTTGTTGTAACAGTTTATTGCTCCAAAACCCTAAAATTCAAGAAGATGCTCAAAACAGCTTTTTCGATAAGCTTTTTGAGAAAGTTATTTTGCATGTAATTAGCTAACAGTTAATTTATCAAACATCTTTCTACAATTAGCTAATGCTATCAATTAATTAAACCTACTAACACAATCAGCTAACAGCTATTTATCAAACATTCTCAAGTCTAACTCTTTATTTTGTGTGTAGTTGTAAGAAACTTGGTCCCCACAATTTTAAAAAACTTAGTTAAATGTTATAGAAACCCATGTCTCGTCACAAACAATCTGATGTGATGAAAATGCTTAATTTACAGAGTGTCACATTATGTGAATATATAAATTTGTTAATTGGGGCCGTATATGACGATTCTTTGTTCTACCGATGGAGACTGATTTTATTATTATTATTATTTTTTTTTTTGAGCTGATGGGGACTGGTATTTATTTTTGTCAAAAAATAACATGTGGATACGGATTTTTTTTTAATCTCATTAGAGCTTCTTTTTTTTTTTTTTAATTTTTTTTTAGTAGCCACGGATATAGTTAGTAGCACAGATGGTGATGTACAGAGGAGAGGAATATGTCTTTTTGCAGATTTAGAGTGCATTTCTAATTATAAGAATGTGCAACTTATGTTCGTAAGCATATTTGAGACTTTTGAGTAATTATATTAATACATTAAGGTGCTGTTTGGTTCATGGAATATTAGATTACCTTAAAGAATGTTAGATTCATGTGTTTGGTTAAAATTGAGGTATTGAGGTATGTAATATAAACCTGTTTGATTTAGGGGTTATCTTTTATGTTATAATTAGTATTTTTATTTTAATACCCTTAACATATTTTTGTGTATTTCAATAAATTTTTAAATTAAAATAAATAAATAAATAAGATAATGGTATCATATATAATTACATGATTTAAAAATAATTAACTAACCTAACTTGTGAAACAAAATTATTTTATAAGTTAATATAACGTAATAATAAATAAAATAAAATATATAATTAGAAAAATAATTAAAAATGATGCATATAATAAGTCTGCATAAAATATATTTTTTATAATAATAATAATAATAATAATAATAATAATAATAATAATAATAATTAAAAGGGTAAAATGTTTAAATATGTATGGTAATCTTGGATATCTTAAGAAATGTAACGGAATCACATTCCCTTCAAAATCCTATGTAGAGGGTATGTTGCATTCCTTTAGGAATATTATATTCCCTTGGAAAAGTAAGATAACATGAACCAAACGTAAGAATGTAAATTTAGGAATGTCACATTCCTTTAGTTATATTGTATAACTTGAACCACACGTGCGGTAAGAGATGTATGTAGTAAGGCCTTCCTTCCATTTATGCTGGGGCAATTTCCACCGTCGTTGCTATATCCTCACTTAATTTGGACCCCTTAAATAGAAATTAGGTTAGATATTTAGGTTTTTAACATGCATGTCTACGCTACTTTTTTTTATAGCCACATCGCACTCTAACTCGGTTAGTGATTGATTAAAATACCTACTAGTTGGACAGGTGTAAACAAATCAAACTACGTAGGTTTGATTGGATGAATATTTAAATTTGATTTGGTTATTATTGAGTTGAGTTCGGACGTGGTTATTATTGCCCTTCATAGTGGCTCCGCCCGGAGTATACTGGTATTTATATAAATAAATAAAAGAAATGAAATTAATTCAATTGTACTTTGGTTGGCCATCCAGTGTGACCTGGTCGCCAGCAATCCTTATACCACGGACTAAGATTTACAGTGCAATGTGCACCCTGATGTCTGTATATATTTTATGTTGTAAGTTTTTATGTCTTGTGTTATAAAATTATGTACTTTAAGAATATGAATTTTGTGCTTAAAATAAATTAATAATTATGTTTTATGTTATAAATTTATTATGTCTTGTATTGTAAAATTCTGTGTTTATAAATACAAATTATGTACCTAAAATATATTTAAAAATTAAATAAATATATAATATGTATATGTGTCTTATATTGTGAATTTTGTACCATATCTTTAAGTATAGCCAGTTCCCAACTGGCCAGGCACAAGGGATAAGCATTCCCTACATAATAAAGCCAATACTGATAGAAGCCCCTGCCCGCTACCGTTAAAAAGCTAACTCCGTTAACCACAGTTAAACCCCTCCCTCCTTTGTCGTCAATTCTCTATATATACACCATTCTCTTTACTCTTTGACTCCCAGTCCCACTACACATCTCTGATTGGTTTAAATTCCAAAGCTTATCAATGGCTTCATTTTCCGCTCCCTACAATTCTCTTCTTCCTTCGCCTACACAAACGTCTTTTTTCTCGTCGGAGAGCTCTGCTTCACCGTCGTCAGTCAAATTCCGGCCATCAAGTTTTCCAGGCGTCGCCGCGTCCGCCACTGCTACCTATGCTGAATTCGAAACAGAAACAACTACTGCCTCGTTTTCGTCGCCTCCGAAGTTGACCTCTCCTTCTCCAACGTCGTCGTTTTACGATTTGCTCGGAATTCCGGTTGGCGCGACGAGCGAGGAGATCAAGGCGGCGTATCGGAGACTTGCTCGAGCTTGCCATCCCGACGTGGCGGGGACTGGTCAGAAGGAATCGTCGGCCAACGAGTTCATGAAAATTCATACGGCGTACTCCACTCTATCGGATCCCGAGAAACGCGCCGACTATGACCGGCGCCTCTTCCGTCGGAGGCGGAGTGTCAAAGTGCAGCACTCCGGCATTTGTACTTCTTCGGCGCCGGAAAAAATGTCGAGATTCACCGGCTACACTCGCCGGAATTGGGAGACCGATCAGTGCTGGTAGCTGGATATATTTTCATTTTCCTAGCTATTCTAAATATAGATTAGAAGTTAGAACAGATCCCTTCGTTATATATGCAGAAAAGCATAGCCGCAGTTACTGGACGATAATTCAATTTTTAACATGATTATTCTTCGGTCTCTTCTGGATGACAATTTTAATTTCAGCTAATATTTACAGCTTCTTTTTAATTTTTCTCTTAAAACTATTTTATACTCCGTAATAAATTAATCACTTGCGACCCTCACGAACCGATCTTCCGTGTTTAGATTGGGAAATGATAACCGATAAGTCTTTGAAACTTTATAAATCTGATTTTATTCGAACCAAAAAAGAAAACGAAATTATGATTAGTGTCGGAGTTAACTTTTTTGATTTTGTACTCCGTATAAACACTCTTCTTGTTTTGCCAGCCTTCAGTTTGATTGGATGCTTGAAAAGTCAGAGCATATACTATTGGATTTGGAAAATACTGGATCCCACTCATTTCACAAATTTTTGTTGTAGATATTTTTTTAGGGATAAAAATATCCTATCATTATTTGTCATATCATTGAGTAAAAATCAGGACATCCTTATTAGTTGAGTTTTTTTATAAAAAAATTTTGATGAGTTTTTGTAAGTGTGATTAGGAAAGAGAAAAAAAAAAATCTGTTTTTAAAAATAAAAAATTTCGTAAATGATGTCATAAACGCGCACAGTTTGTGCATGCAATTCATGTGCAACTGTGGCTCTCACGGAATTTCAGTGCAGCTGTCATTTATTTGTGGCTGGTCTCACTTTCTGCAAAGAACCCTATATTTGCAGGACTAACTTTCATCTTCTCTTACTTGTTTCTCTTTCTTCTATGTTGGCATTTATTCCTAAATAATTGTGAATAATCCTCCTATTGGGGATGCTCTTATGCTAAAAACTTATGTGAGACCGACTTACATATCCTTTTTCGTGAGGCAGATCGAGTCAATGATAAAATGTAATACTTATACACACAAATATAATACTAAATCATGAATAAAATATTTATTATTTATATGAAAAAATGTAATACTCATGTAATAGTATTACATTTTTTATTTATAAGTAACAAACACTTGCTAACATTATTTATAAGTAAAAATATAATATTTTTGATAAAAAATAAAACTTTTATATCAAAATATAAAAATATTATATTTGTCATCAAAAGTATTACGTATTTTCTTATAATTAACAAACACTTTATTCTTAATTAATATTACATTTTTCAGTATAAGTATTATATTTGTATATGAGTTAATTCCAACAATGGTCCTCTGACTATATTGATTTTCCAAAATTAGTCCTTGACTTTTAATTTGGACACTTTAGGTCCCTTGACTTTCAATTTCTTTTCAATTGAGGTCCTTTCGTCAGAATACGGTTAATTGAATTTTAAATGAAGGGGTAAACTCATCATTTCACCTGCCTATGTATTATTCTTAGTATTTCTCCATTGTATACGCGATATATATGAAGATAATCTTAGTCGAAACCCTAAAATGTTCCTCGTCGTTCTCCATTTGCTGACTACTCGTGTGTGCGTTTCTCTATTATTGAGATGTTTACAAGGTATAACAGCGAAATACGAAGGGAGAAATACGAAGAATAATACATAGGCATGTGAAAGGACGAGTTTACCCCTTCATTTAAAGTCTAATGAACCGTATTCTAACGAAAGGACCTCAATTGGAAATAAATTGAAAGTCAAGGGACCTAAAGTGTCCAAATTAAAAATTGAGGACTAATTTTGAAAAATCACTATAGTCGGAGGACTATTGCTGGAATTAACTCTTTGTATATTAACTATATCCAACCCAATCTGCCTCACCTAAACATATACGTGAGATGATCTCACACTTAAGTGAGAGAGTATATGCCTAGTAGAACAGTAGAACTCCTTGGGTTTTGGGGTAAATTGGAAGAAAAATTATGTGGAATTTTATTTTTTTAGCAACAAAAATTGCGTCAATTTTGTTACTATATATATATATATATATATATATATATATATATATATATAAAGGTAATCAGTGTTTCGTGATACATGAACATAACCACATGGATTGGCTGCGACACCCCAACATATTAACGCCTTAATAAATAGAAAATGATACTCCCAAACAATATAATATATTATATTGTTGAAACTTTTTAAGTGTCGTTGCTTAGGGTAACCTTACAATCAGGGACGGAGTCAGGAATTCTGTTGAGGGGGTGAAATAAAAATAAATTCATAAATTTTTTTCAGGAAATGCAAAACATTAAAATAAAAGAGATATTTAAAAATAAATAAATAAATTACCTAAGAAATATAGGTGTAAATATTGTTGGATATAGGCGAAAAATAAAACACATCGAAACTTTATAATAATATTCATAACAAAATATGAAACATAATTAATTTGATAAAATAATTTGAATATATATATATATATATATATATATATATATATATATATATATATATATATGTATGTATGTATGTATGTATCAAATATTAAAAAAACTATTAAAACGTGACTGTGTTAAAATCATAGGGAAAGAGCCAAAAAAAAAAAAACTATAAAAATATATTAACAACTATAAGATTCAAATCCCTAACCTTTATTATCACCAAATGTATGCTCTACCAACTAATCTAACTCATTTTTTATTAATAATTAACAGTTTTTATATATTACTACTAAAAAATGTACTATATATACATATATACATACAAAAATTATGTATGAGGTGGGGTGGGGTGAAGGGCAGCTGACCCCCTTGCCCTTTTGGCTCCGTCTATGCTTACAATATATTAAGTGCACTTAGGATACCTAATTACCTACGAAACTAATAGACATACTCCATTTATTAATTAGTCATATTAATTATGTGGTAATTGCGTTTTTTTTTTTTTTTTTTTTACCAACCTCCAAGCAATTTTTCATCTTTTTTTCAAAACACTATCACTAAGTTTAATTTGCAAATTATGCTGTGCATTTGTATGCACCATGCATGGTGCATACGGATGCAAAAACGACGTCGTTTTAATAAAATGCGCGTTTCCCCTTTAAAAAAAATCAGGTTCGATTCCCAGCAACAACATATGAACTAAAATTCCATAATCGATGAACTATAATTCCATAATCGATTAACTATAATTCCATAATCTAATCTATGAACTAAAAATTCCAGAATGAATGAATTAAAATTCCATAATTTATAAACTAAAATTTCAGAATCGATGAACTACAATTCCATAATCGATGAACTATAATTCCATAATCAATGAACTATAATTCCATAATCTATGAACTAAAATTGCAGAATGAATGAACAATATAATGTTGTTGCTGGGAATCGAACCTGAATTTTTTTTAAAGGGGAGACGCGCGTTTTTTTAATAAAACGACGTCGTTTTGGCATCCGTATGCACCATGCATGGTGCATACGGATGCACAGCATAACGATTGCTTAGGATACCTAATTACCTACGAAACTAATAGACATACTCCATTTATTAATTAGTCATATTAATTATGTGGTAATTGCGTGTTTTTTTTTTTTTTTTTTTACCAACCTCCAAGCAATTTTTCATCCTTTTTTCAAAACACTATCACTAAGTTTAATTTCTTATTTGAAAAAAAGTATATGCATATTATTGGAATTATTATACATTGGTCTTGTTTTTGGATATTGAAACAATATTGTGAGTATAACTATCCTGAAATGAGTAAAGTCGTTAGTTGAGCTAAGTGAGTCAATTCCTGTTTGGTAAAATGGCTGTTAGCTGTTAACTGATTGTGTTAATTAGAGGGTATAAATAGTTGATGATATTAGCTGATTGCAGAAAAGTGTTTGGTAAATTAGCTGTTAGCTGATAGTTGCTTGGTATAATTTCTTTTCTCAAAAAACTAATTGAAAAAGTTGCTTGGAGTAGCTTTTTGAATTTTAATCTTTTGAAGTTGCAAAAAGCTAATTAACCAAACATTTATATTGATACTTTAACTAAATTAAACAATTAATAGTGGTCAAATAAACCAAAATTAACCTATAGACCAATTTTTTACCAAACAAAGCGGTTGGTCTTTATCTCACGCCACGATGACATGAGCTTCCTTGATTAACCTTTGCTAGCAGAGCACAAACAATTGTCTTTAGAATGAAACTAGTCGATATTCTCACTTAAATTGTTATACCTTAACTTTCACGACACCAATATAATGGGTTACTTAAATACTTGTGTTGAGATCACTAGTTCAATTTCCATTAACACATACAAAATTCAACACAATACTACTTAGAGAACATTATTAGTTAGTTGGGAAGAATGTGGGGAGAATGTAAGTGTGATTAAGAAAGAGAATGTGAGAGGGGGAGAAAAAAAAATCAATTTTAAATAATATATATATATATATATATATATATATATATATATATATATATATATATATATATATTATGATTGTCAGGCGCGCCTCACTACATGCACCCATTGGGCGAATGACAGCCACGCGTGACTGTCACCATTGGTGTGAATATTGGTGGGTCCCACCAATTCTGAATTACTCCAACCCTTGTGGGAGAGTTCTTTTTTAATTATTTCCTTCCTAAATTAGCTTTGCTCCTTGTTTGGAAAGAATACATTCTAAAATAACTTGAAATTATCCAATATAGTGGATGCTCTTACACTCAAGACTCTTAACGTCAATTCAAAACGTCAATATATGCAAGGTTGAATAATCCTGAAAACAATATAATGTCAGAATAGTGTGTGGTCACTAATCCATTTTCAATCTTTTCTTGTTTGGTCCATACTTAATTAATACTCGATCTTCAAAATAATAATAATAATAATAATAATAATAATAATAATAATAATAATAATAATACGTGTCAGTCCATGATGGGTGTTGTCGCATGCATCTAATTTATTGATTGTTAAAATGTGATTGGTCATTAATGGTGTAGTGTTCTGTATAGTGTATATCCTGGAGACCACAGAAAGAGGTTTGGAAGTTGGAACAGAAATTCTGGGGGCAGAACTTAGATGCAAGCTAGGTTGAAGCCGCCCCCAGGTTTACATAAAGCCCTCTTTCCGGCTTTTGTCTGTTTTTCACTTTTTCCTAGAATGCCCAGCC